ATGCTAGCCATCAGTCTGAAGGCTTTTGTGGAGTTCCATCTTGCTAGGCAAACGGTTAGCATTTCTATACAAGATAAGTGAATATCAAAGGCCAAGTTCTCAGCTGTGATCTGGCTGTGTTTTTAAAGGATTAAAGAGAAGCCAATTCTCCTTTGCCTGGACTAATCGTTAACTACAGTTAATTGACATGGCAGATTAGTAGCCCATTGTCAAAGTTTTATGCTGGGGCCATTGAGGTGGGTGTTCTGGAGTTTTCTGTGCAAGTAATTTGATAAAGTGACTGAGAGTCTGATGGAAGCCACAAGTAGCTGAGATAATCAAGACAGCCCTACACAGAACTGGGATGAGAATGACTGTACAGTGACCATACATCTCTATCAATCCAAGCATGGTAGCTATTTTGCAGCTGAGAATCTGACCTGCTAGCTTATAGGATCTTGGAGACTGTAAGAGGTGTATAATACAGCATGTACCATGGATTCTAGGGTACCGTTTCGTATAGAACATTGGAATGTACATGGTAAGATTCATAGGATTTGGAATGTCTTACGTGTCTTTATCATGATATAATAGTATAAAAAGTATAAAAAACCTTACTCTTTTTTTGTTCACTTAAGTGATGTTCTCAAGAAGGTAGGCAAAGTCTTTTCCCTTTGTATGTAAAAGAAGCCTGAGATTAAAGTGCTCCTTAGAAAACCATTACACATTCCAAAACATGGGATTGGAAATGGAGCACACATGCAGGTTGCCAAGCTGCAGTAGTTTGCATCTTCGGATGTATTGCTGGGAGCTCTGGCTGTGCTTCCCTAATTTAGTCACATCATTGCAAATTGTCAGAATAGCAGATACTCTACAACAGAGATCATTTGTTTATTTTGTGAAAATGAAGAAAAAAGCCCTAATCCTCTGGCAGTTGTTGGTCATAATTGCACAAAGGGTAATTTTTTTCTAGTGTGAAGAACAATGGCTTTCTGTGTTGAGAACCTAGTGTTTGCTCCAAAAGTTATTGAAATTACTCTTTGCTTTTCTCTCTGATGAAAAACGGGGATGTTTTCCTCTTAGAGCTCTAAATGATTTACTCTAAACAGCTGTCTCTTCCTTTCCACCCATCCCCCTATACTGCTCATATGATCAGCTTTCTTTGTGGATTGTTCAGTAGAATTAACACTGGTTCAGGCTGTTTAGCCAAGGTTGAAGTAGATGTGCTATTTGGATTTGTTTGTAGGTCCTGTTTCATTTTAAAGACTTAAAAGAAGGAGAAAATGATTGCAGGAATTATTTGAATTCAAAATGCTAATTTCTGTGCTTCCTTGTTACAAGAAATTTTTCATGATATCTCAGAACAAATATATTTTTAATCCATCAGTCAATTCCTGAATTACCTTCTGGTGTTTGCATGTTTATATTCAAAATGAGATATATATATATATATATATATATATATATATATATATATCATTATGAGCCTAATTTACTGTACTGTGCTACATTATTGTGTTACAGTATAAGAAGAAATTACCATAAGTAGCTTTCCAAAGTACATAAGGGCAACGTAAACAGGGAGTTTTTCATCATATTTAATCTCCGGTCAGAATGATCAGAAACAGTGAACAGCCTGCAGTATACTCAGAAATACTGGCAGGTTCTGAATACTGTGCAAGTTAGAAGCATGAAACAAAAAAAAAAGAAGCAGGAATATACTTAAATATCGAGGGTGAAATGTTCAATACTGGTTAATAAAATCCAAAGGGAGAATGTTGCACATGTTACTTTAGTGCCCACATAGATCTCTAGGGCTGATTTTGAGTGTAATAAACTTTACAGGAATTGTGGTTTTTTGGGTTTATTTTGATTTTTTTTTTTTATATTGTTTTTGTTAGGCAGTCTCTCTTGACAGTAACATAACCATTTAGAACTAAGCAACCATTTCAGTCATCTTTATTACCAAGAAAAAAAGTGTATAAAGAAAGAAAAAACCTTACCAAGAAACAAAGATCAATCCCACTAACTGCTGTTTCCTCAGAGACATTGTTACCAATAGCAAAACTCCTATTGATTTCAGTGATGTAGCCCCAACCAGTAATGGAGTCATCTGAGAAAAACAGTTAAAAGCTCAGTTTGAGGAGATTGCCTTCACATGCATTGAAACATATTTTGTAGTCAGTTGTGAGGTCAACATAGCAAGGTCAAATGTATATTAGCTCACTATTAAGAGTTTTCACAGCAGTTACTAGAATAATGAAGAGGCAAACTTAGACCCCAGTACCACATGATGGCCTGAGCTCTTAGAGTTCAGCAGCTGAATTGGAGTCCGGCTTTTCTCCTACAGAGTTGACTTGTTTCAATCAATTGGATATCAGTGGCACATTTCTGAGACACTCTAGGTTTCTTTTCCTGCATGATTTTTAGGAAAAAAAAAACCAAACAGGTTTTGTAAACTGTTAAGTTATTCCATCTACATTACTTTACAATCTGTCAAGTTGATCACACGATAATTGAATGAAAGAGGCAAATCATTTATTAAGGAATGTGCCTAAAGGTTTTTGTTTAACAGGAACTAAAATTTATTGATTACAGGGAGTTCAAATGCAACTTTGGGCATCTCATCATTTTCATTACTTAGGATGGACTTTGCAAAAAGCTGGGAAAGCCAAGTGTGTATAGGTAATAGGATTGAACCACTGTTTCAGAGAAAAATGAATGTATTCATCTTTTGAATATGTGCAGAATTCTGTTTTCTTCTGTTTACTTGCATATTTCCTGCATGTCATTCTGATGCAGTGAACCTTATGATGTAGTGAAGAGACTGTGTACTGTGTAAGAATGTCAGAATCCACAGTGTATATTTATCTAGATCCAAACTTTACCATCTGCCCTTGTGTTATTGGAGATGGAGGGAACTTCTGTTAAAATGGATAACTGTTCTGTGGCTAACACTATTGTAATTACAACATAGCTGAAAAATACTGTTCCTGGATTTGTTTAATCCTGGAGTTAAACTGGCCTATTAGGAAAATGCCAAATGCCTGGCTGAGAAGCCTAGGTGAAGTATATTGTTTAATGATTATATGGATAAAACCAAGTATTGGAGAACTGCAGATACATGTGGCAGTAAGCTTACATGACACCACGGGAAGTGAGGAGAGTGGGAGACGTTTTTCTAGATGGTCTGATGAGCACAAAGCAAAACAGTGCACAGTGGGTAAATTTAGTAAATCAAATGGTTAAATGGACTTATGGATACTGTTATTTAAAATAAACAAACAAAACAACAAATAATTTAGTCAAGGAAAGAAGCAACCAGTTAGGTGATGAAAGCCTCTTTATCTTTCCCAAAGGTTTTTTTTTTTTTTTTTTTTTTTTTAAATTTTTCTAAGAGTTAATATTTCTTTCACAGTGTGATTCGAAAGGAAGTTACTTATGTTTAGGAGACAGTGTACTGACATCAATGCAGGGCTTTTCATTGACTTAAGTACGGTTCAAATAGGAAGTTCTGTTGGTTCTTCTGGAAGGAAAAGTGTGTTGTTTTTGCAGGAGTCTGATACACACTAATTCTTCTAAGTCCTCACTAAGTCTTCATTTGTAGATGTCTACTCAGAAGCAAGTTGTTGCCACTTTTGAAGAATGTGAGTGTAGTGTGCAGTTTTAGCATATTGTGCATTCATCAGACTTTGAAAGTAAATTTTTGGCACATTCCAAGGAA